CCTGAGACCTGACCCTGGGTAAGAGGAAGAAAACAGACGGACGGACAGACCTCTGACTCATAGAAGCTTTATGTAATAAACTGCTGTGAATTCAAACTGAATGCAGATTTGTTTAAATAAAGTCATTTATCGTTTGTGTTGATTATTGTGAAGCTGTTTCTATGACACTGATGGCAGCTCACAGTTTGCGTAGCTGAAAAGCTGTGAGTATGTCGTCACTGGAAAATGTCCTATCTGGATAGTTATGTCAAACAAACAGGGTAATCCAGGAAAGCCTAATGGTGGACAACATATTTGCTCTGCAGGGTGATGACAGAGCAGTGAGTCATTATTACACTGCTGCTTTGTGAATGTTTGTGTTGTTTTTTTACAAAGATTTTTTGCTGAATTTCTGTTTTTCAGTTACTTTGCTTTTTTTCCTCTTCGGTTTCTGTAACTGTTTGCTTGTTTTTGTCAGCTTGGTTTGAGTTTTTGTGAGACCCCCTCATCTTCTGCCCACTAAAAGTTTAATGAACACCTGCCGTCATGTAAGTGTCAAAGCTCACGTACAACTTAAAAATAAAAGCAAGGAGTGCCATACGTTTTAAAACTGGCTGGGTTGTTGGTTATTAGTCATGCAGGTAACATAATACAGGTGTGCTTATGTCAGCTTGTGGGTATGTGACAGTAAGCTGTGTGCCATCAATTGAAAAATGACTCAGTTTATTCGGGGGGGGGGGGGGGTCTAATACTACTAGAAGTTTTATCTTAGAGTAAGCTGGAAAAAGACTTGGCCTAAAGAAAAACAGTTAAGGCGTTGTGTCTGTGTGTGTTAGAGGATGTGGAGGAAGGTCCAGTAAGACTAATACTGAACATTTAGACTTTTGTCATCATGCTGAGAACAGCATCACCTCAGTGGAGCACGGTGGTGGCAGCTTCATGCTGTGTGGATACGTTTCATCACCTCATAAATCTGAAATATTTCCAACACGTTTTAAATTCTGCAACATTTTTTAATCCTTAAAACAAACCCCAGGCCTGTACGACACACACACATCCATCACACAGGAAAGCCTCCTGCACGGGACTAAATATCTAAGTGTGAGAATGACGTGACATCACACAGGGAATCTCCCTCTCTCATGTGTGAGTTGTGTGTTCATGTGTGTGTTTTTGTGTGAAAGCAAACAAAGACGTCACAGTTGATGCAAGCAGAGGATCCCAGAGTCCAGGAGCTGTAAACACATTCCAGACTACGCCCTCTGAACCTGGACGAAACTCTTACTGACCCTGATGGGTGGCTTGTGTGTGTGTGTGTGTGTGGGCAGGTATTCTCTACTATGTGGGGACAATGGATTATACACCTACTTGTGGGGACCATCTGTTAATTATGTGTACCTCAGCCTGAGCTCCATGGTGGGTTAGGACTAAAGTGTGAGTTTAGGGTCAGATTCCTATCTGTGAGGTTAGGCTCAGGGGTCAGAGGTAGGCTGTAGAAATGAATGGAAGTCAATGCAAAGTCCCCACAAAGGTAGTAGGCCATGTGTGTGTGTGTGGAGGAGTCAGCAGACCTGAGTGGTGAGCTGTGCAGTACACTGTGTTACGTTGGGAAACCTGAGAAATTCTCCTCTGATGGGGGTGGAAACGTTGAAGCTGAGGT